GCCCTCGGCCCCCAGGCGCCAGCGCTGGGGCCGCCGCGACCCGGCGTTGAGGGACCCGGCGGCGCCCGAGGACCGCGCGCTGCCGACGGCCGAGACGGGCACGTGCTGGTTCCCGCCGGCGCCCGCGGGCGTCGACGCGGCAACTTACTGGAGCCGCGTTGATAATCACCTCTGCATCTGCTGCGCCGACCCGGCGCGGACCGACAAGTCGCCATTTTGCCAGTCATGCTACAAGGACGGGAGCAGGGTGAAGGTGCAGAACGTTTCCAAGCATAGCTAGAGGGCCCGCCGGGACAACAACCAGGGCGGTGGCGGCGGCAGTGCCGATGGCGATGCTGCCCCGGCTGTCTAATGCTCTCTTGTCCACGATTGCCGATCAGGTGCGTCTACCCCTAGACTCTTGGCCCCATCATTGCGCTCACCAGAGAGCGCCCCGATCATTAATCATTCTCACATTGGATGGATCACCGAGTGATATTACTAACCTCTTTATCTGCAATAAAAACACCTATATACCAACCAAAATGCGCCCCTTTAATATGAAAATGTGCTGATAGCCAAAGCATCTATGCCATCAAGGCAATGTGCTTAAGCTCGCTGCAAAAGGCAAAGTTGAATATTAGCAATGCGAGTCTTGAGGTTCAAAAAGGGACACCAACTAAAATGCTTACTTTTGAACCTGCTTGCCAACCTTCATGGGCGCGTACTCTGGCTCCTCGCCCTCGTCGCGGCCGAGATTGAACTGCTCGGCGCGGACGCGGCGCGCCTCCTCGGCCAGCTTGGGGATGGGCGCCAGGTCAAAGTCGGACGACAGGTGCCAGAAGAAGGTGGATGAGATGCGGACGAGGGGCCGGTCCGGGAGCTCCCTCGACCTGCGCTCGACCACGTCGAGGGTGGCGTCGTTGACGACGACCTCGTGGAAGCCGGCCTTGACGAGCCCGCCCGTCAGGTGCTCCAGCTGCTTGCCGGCCTGGACGAGCAGGTAGCCCTCGCCGGACGGCATCTTGACGGCGATCTTCTTGCCCGTGTTGCGCGCCCAAATGTGCAGGCCCGGGTAGCGCGAGCGGCCGTGGATGGTGAGGAAGTTGAGGTCGGTGTGGAAGCCGGCCAGGATGGTGTCCTTGGCGCCGTACTTTTTGAGGTCGGATGCCGTCGGGGCGAGCAGGTGGGGACTGGTGTTTGTTGTTAGGGATGATTCGCCCCTTCTGGCATCTCTGCATCTATAGCAGGCTCTCACTTACCCATATTGGCCCGCCTCCTTGAACGTCTTGCCCGGAAGGCCCAGCCCTATGGCGGCCATCTCGGCAAGATCAGAGACGCTGTCATGCAGGGGAGCGTCAGCGGTGTGTCACATGACCCTGCCGTGAGACAAACAAGCCCTCAAAGAAACCGAAACTCACGCATTCTTCATAAACGACCCCCACTGGTCCATGGTCGGCACCCAGCGCTCCTTGATCTGGGGCGCGTCCGGGACGACGTTTGGGGCGTTGAGGGCCGGGAACTCGGTCGCGTAGGGCGGCTCCTCGACGACGCGCCAGAAGAAGCGGCACTTGGGGTCGGGCTCGTGGGCGGCGATGTCGAGGGGCCGCTCGGCCGGGGCGAGGCGCTCGATGACGCGCAGGCACGGCTCGTCGACGGCGCACTTTGGCTTCTCCGTGTTCTCGAGCGTGACGCCGACCTGGTAGCCCAGCTCGGGCCGCTCGTCGCGGCGCAGGTCCGGCTCGGGCTGGGCGAAGTAGTCCTCGAGCAGGTCCAGGAAGGCCTCGTTGGCGGCCTCGGGCACGCGGCCGTCGCGCAGCACGAGGGCGCCGTACGTGATGAGGGCCGACGCGGCCTTGGCGCACTCGTCGCGCACGGCGGGCGAGTCGCGCGGCTGCTGGAGGAAGACGTCGAGGTTGATGACGGGGAGGTCCATTTTGGCGGCGCCTGTGTTGTTGTCTGAGGAATGAGGAATGGAGGGAGAAGGGTCTTTGTGAAGGGTCTTTGTTCTGGAGACAGTGGCTGCTTTGTTATTTCAAGAAAAAGCCCACCTCCAATGCCGAATCAGATGATATTTTTGACTCGGCGCTTTTTCTCTGTTGTGGTCACGGAGCCGGCCGACGGAGCCAGGGCTGGTGGGGTTCAATCGTCGCCGCGGCACTGCCCAGCATTGACTGCCCCCCCTCACCCTCCCCGCGATAAGGGGAATGGCAGATCGTGTGACAGCGGATCCATGTCACTGGGCCTAACCAGATTAGCCGCCGAGGATTCCAGGCAACAGGGATGGAACGACTTGGATTGACGAGGGAGAAGAGACAAAAAAGCCTTCGGACGGAGGCAGCCTCCTCCAAGGCACGGCAAGGTCTGAATTCTACCCTTGACCCCTCGCACAGTCCCGAATCCCCACATCATCTATCCACCTTCCGCATTCGGCAGGTCCTCCATCGCCACAAATCAAGCCATCGCTAATTACCACCTATTGAAGTTCCTTGTCGCAGGCTACCTCGAACCCCCATCTATCCACTCCCTCACGCAGCCTCGCTGGCGCGCACAACCGTCAGGAACGACGTCCTGTCCGCCACCGCGCCCCCTCCCCGGGACGGCGGCGCCGGGAACGTCATGGGGTGAAGCGCGCCGGGCTTGTCGCAGGGGTACGGCGTCGTCAGGACCTCGAGCACGCCCGCCGTGGGCGTCACGAGCCGGAAGCACATGGCGTCCGTGGTTTCCGCCGCCGTCGCCGTCGACGTCGGGCAGGGCAGCGGCATCCAGACCGTCGTGTGGATTCCCCGCGTGAGCGAGATCTTTGTCGAGCCGCACACCGCGCTCGGCTCCACGGCTCCGGCCGCCGCCGAGCAGGGGAGCGGCATCCAGAACGTCGTGTGGATGCCGCGTGTGAGCGAGATCTTGGTTGAGCCGCAGACCGGGTCGGAGGGCGAGCTGGAGGCCGCCGCCGTCGAGATCTCGTGGTTGTGCATGGCCGCCTCGCGCATGCCCTCAAAGGTCATGGGCGCACTGGTGGTGGTGGAGGTGGTGCTGCTGCTGCTCGGCTTGCGCTTTGGGAACATCGAGGTAGGGTACGGCCGGGCCGACTCGTCAAAGGTCGGCGTGGGGAACGTCACCTCCCGGCTGGTCGTGGTGAGGGTGCTGAGCGACCAGGTGGTACCGGTAAAGTCGTACGGGGTCTGCGGGGTCGATGGGGAAGTCGTCGAACTGGTGAGCTCGCTGCACGGTACTGGCACCGCCACAGTCGTGTGCGTGAGGACCACGGTCTGGTCGCACATTGGTGTTCCGGGAAAGTTGCTCATAGTGCTCGTCAGGGCATCGCGGCGCGCTGCCGTTGCGGACGCGGCAGGAGTAGGTGTGACGGGTGGTAGCGCGATCGGGTTGGTGTCGGAAGATCCGACGTTAGAACGTGCCAGGACGGCCGCCGCCCAGACAGGGGCCAGAGCCGCGATAGAGAACTGGAGGCATTGGGTTATTCGTAGTCCGTCATTTGTGTGCTGCCCGGAGAGTTGAGGCTAGGGAGTATAACTTACCTTCATTGATGCGACTTGCTCCTGCAGATAACTGGCCTAGAAGGAGGGAGCAGAGCTTTTTTAATGGTGCGACAGCGATGCTGGAATTCCGTGGGAGGGAAGAGCGAGTGGGTAGGCACAGTTAGAGCTTTGACGAGCGCCCACAAAGGGCAAGGAAAGTGGATAGCTGGGTACCGTGCAAGGTTGAGTGACGAGGGTTTTGCGGCGAGGGAAGTGAATGGGTTGGCAAGACCCATGCGGCGGGGCTTTGGGCCGAAGTTTGTGCGGGAGGAGCGCGGTTGAGAGGAGAGCAGAGGCCATGTCTCGCACGGCTGCCATCTGTGTAACTTGCACCGAGTTTATGCCTGTGACCGCAGTCTGACCGAGATCTGAGGGAGGGAGCGGGATCTGGTTGACGGTGGTCTGCATGGCCGTGTTACAGAGTCCACCATAATAAAGCCAGGCACAGTCTCATACTTGTACATCGTTTGTCACAGCAGAGGCACCAACGGGATAGTTCCAGTTTCTATTCCAAGCAGCTGGGATGCCGCGTTATGAGAAATGCAAAGATTCATACCAAGTATATGTATAGGCGCCCCTATGTATACCTTTCGTAACCAACTGTATTCCCAAAGCCCCAGTATAGGCCTCCCCTTAAGCTTGCCCTAGCTGCCGTTGCCGCTCCTGATTCGAGCGGTGGTATACCAAACCGAGTCGTCCGCCGCGGGCATCACTACCTCGACGGTTGCTCCGATGGAGCCTAGTACGGGTGGCCTGTTTGCTACGATGCCCAGATCCTCCCATTCGGAGCACGGGGCTGCGGTCGCGCATGCCCTTGGCGTCTTGAGCTAGACCGTCATGTGCTTGAGCCTCCCGTCGTCCAGGCCCACGGCCACGACCTCAATCCGGTCGCGGCCTTCACCCGAAACCACGGCCGCCGGGGCGTCGCGGCAGACGACGGCGTACTGCGAGCTCGGGACCAGGTCGCCCGCGCCCTATCGTGTCCACCAGCCCGCCCTCTCCCACTCCCCGTCCTCGTCGATGAACCGCCTTGTGCGCCAGCGGGGGCCCCGCCGCTACCCGGCCGGACCCTCGCCCACACGTCCACGCGGCTCCGACCCCCTCGTGCAGACCGCGGGCGGCTCGACCGCCTCGCCGGCAGGGAACAAGATGGGCCTGAAACCCGGGGAGAGGTTGGACGCGGCGGCGCCCAGCCCGACGTGGTTGACGAGCACACGCCTACTGACGGGCGACACGACCAAGATGGACAGCTTCGGGCCCGGCCCCACCGCCGCGGCGGAACAGTCCAAGTCCAAGGCCGCATCCCAGACCGACAGCCAGCACCACCGCGATGAGGAGACATCGCAACCACCCACTTTATTCGTCGATGCCTTCGCGAGCTATATTCTGACTAGGATGACTGTAGAATTGTCTTCATTTGGAATTCGACGACAGGCCCGGCGCCACCATGGTAACGTGCCTGCTTCTCGGACCGCTCGGGCGGCGGCAGTGTTTCCGGTAAACATGGCCCCAGGCACACTCCAAGGTACTACTCTGAGGAGCAAGGGCTTGGTGTTTCTGAATCAAAATAAAATAGCATGGCTATAAAACGAAAGGAAATGAGGAGAGAGAATAAGTGTCGTAGGGAATGGGCCTTGTGGAAAATGTACGACTTCCGATGCGACAAGACGTAGGGCGAATGCGCCAAGACTGGCTGCTGCCTGCCTAGCAGGATGCTGGCGTGCCCGCTCCATTTTTCATGACCACTCCCTCGGTGAAGAGAAGGCGATTATACGATGGAACGCCGCTGATTGGATGTAGCCTTACCGCCCTAGCATTCTTCTGCTGTCCTTTTATTCGCATGAATAGGTGCTGCCTTCCTGCTGAACTAGAACCAGGCAAGCGGCAACTAGGTCTAGACAAGCCAGCAATGCATTGACGCTGGCCGCGCGCAGACTAGGAAGTGAGGGCCACCAACTGTATTGGAAAGCGAACATACGAGTTACGAACTCGGTTCCGGATTGGATATTATAGGACAGCTGTAAACAATAGTTTCTGGGTGGGCTAATTGTGGCCCCGTCCTCCTCGGGATGTATAAACCGGAAGGCATCACGAAGGAAATATGAATCTATGGTGGCTGTTCCACCCGCATCCAGGGGTCTTCGGGTACTTGCAAAGGACTGCCTCCACGTCCCTCGGCGCCGTCACAGTCCTCTTGCTTCCATGATGTGGCTTACCTCACTCGTTGCGCTCGCCCACATCTCGGGGGTTGGGGCACAGCTCACCAAGCCCCAAATGCAGCCGCCGCCCCCGCCGCTGGACGGGGGTCTTTTCGCCAATCTTCACGCGCCTTCGTCCTGGTACGACCGATGGGAATGGGGATGCAAGCTGCGCAAGATAACGCCACGCCCCCTGGGGAAGTGGTTGCTGATGGTTTGAGGCATATGGATGCCCGATCGCTGCCGTGACGTCGCCAACGGCCAGAAGGCCGACTTTCCGGGAGGGCCGTACGGCATTGAGGTCTTCAACGTCCACTACGCCGACTGCGACACGGCCTGGGTCATGTGCCGCCACAACCAGGCCGAGATTAGTAGGGAGCAGATGATCGACCTTTTCGGGAGGATGCCGGTGCGCATGCGACAGTGGATTCGCCTGATTATTGGCAAGTTTCCATCCTTCTCCTTCGCCCTCCCAACACCCTTGCGAGGGGGGAGACTATGGACCACAATCGTGGGAGCTTCTAGGGACCCGTCGCCTTGATTTTGTGCTGACAGCTCGCTCTGCCGCGCAGGTATGCCAGGAACCGCCCGCAACAGGAGGGGTGGCAATACCTAGTGAGCTAGCCCTTCATACGTCGCTCCTGCTTGCTTGAGCGCGCCGCTTGCTGACCCGCACCCGTAGCCCGGACTACGGCGACGTCTGGCTCTGGGGGGACGCGCAGAACTACCCGACGCTTTGGGTCCACGAGATGGCGCACGCGCTGGATTATCAGGCTGCCCCGGGCCCCACCCGGTTGTCGTGTAAGGAATTCTTTTGGCACGGCGACGGAGGACTTTCCACCCACACACACACACACACAGCGTTCCTCGTACTGACCCAGAGTCTTCCCCTAGCGAGCCAGCGGTGGCTTGATGCATACAACAACGACGCTGCCATATCCGACGGCTACGCCGCGAAAGGTAAGCCAGACTGCCGTTCTATCCAGTAGGCGGATCAAGAGGGCTAATATCTCACGAACCGCCGTCGCAGACCAGAAAGAGAACTTTGCCCAGGAAACGGTCATTGCCCTCTTCGACACCGTCGTTCCCGGCGGCATCGGCACCGTTGTTCCCAACTGGGCAGTCATATACAACCAGCACTCGACGGTCCGCAGCGCCCTCGGGGACAACCTGGTCCCCGGAGGGAGGTGCGGGGCGCGCAAGCCCGACGCGTACGTCTCCGTCCCTCTTGCGACTCCCTTTCTCTGAAGACTTGCTAACATTGGGGTGGTAGAGGGATCGTCTGCATGGGCCCGGCGGCGCCCTGCGGCCAGCGCCAGGTCGGTCAGCGCGCCTCACCAACCATCGCCACGGCCGTCGTGAAAGTTTCGAGGATGCCGCCCCCGGAGGGCCCGGGGGTGCTAGCCGCCGATGGAGAGCGATTTTGGCAGTGAAAAGCATGCCTGCAGGTCCACACGGGCACATGATCCGCGCTGCCGTGCCATGATGGCCGGAATTATTAGCAACTAGTGATAATTAAACCCGCATAGATCATTCCTGGAGAGGATATCCCCATCAGCTCCCCAGATATATTCGCGCTCGCGTGGCTTTCTCTCTTCGAGCTTGCACACATGGGCCAACCCTGGCCTGGATACCTTTTTGGCGACGGGGTCCGGGGCAGGGAACCGGCCTTGGTCCTATCAGCAGGCTCGATCCCGCGGACCTGCCTCCCGGAACTGTTGTCCGATAAGAGAAAGGCTGGCGCCAGGTGACATTGAGCCTGGAGCCGTACCCTTTTGTCTCCGCCAGGTGCGGGGGTTTCACAGTGATGCCGCTCAGGGCAACGACGTCGCGAGGCCGCTGTCGTCGGTGTAGATGCTCCCAGTGTCGGTGCAACGAGATGGCGACACCCTCCCAATATGCACGGGGCCCCGACGACGTGCCGCGGATAGGTTCCGGCTGCAGCCTACAAACGAAATCTGCCTAGCTCGGCAATGTCGCGGCCGTACAGCCGAATGTCGCTACACAGCTCGGCAACACTCTGAGCTAACTTCCCAGCAACCAGCGAGCACGCAGAGCCTCCATCATCACTACTCATAGTGCCTGGAGCGTATGCGATAGCGGTAGGGCCATCCGTAATACTTGATTACCCATTAAGAATAGAAGATTACTGGCGATACTCCTGTCCGTGAGGCACGGAAATTATAAGTAGCATACTTGCTTGTAGGCCCACTGCTCGACCGCGTCCTCGTCGTTGTGGTTTCCAACTCTCCACGCACCGTTTTTTCTGTAGCAGATAGAAGACATGACCTGCCATAATAGGATTGTCCGAATCAGTGCCTCCGAAAAACACCGTGATGTGCGGATCCGATGAGATTGTTTCTCTCCATCCCTCCAAGTTTGTTGCTGTTGTGGTTCTGTGATCGTAAGCGGATAATCGGCAGCGTTACTCAGTAAGTATCAAAAGGTTGGCCCACCTTATAACTTGCGGGTGGCACTTTCTACACCAAACAATCGATTTCTGGCTCAACTTCCCTCAACAAATTGAGCTTGACGGGAAAGCCCACAGCGGCACAGAGTCAGGTACTTTGTGCTCAGGAAAGGTTTCTTGCTGCCCAAACATTTACAACCTCAATTCTGTTTGCCGGAGCCTGGTCCATATTCAAGGTTCTGACAACACGGCTGCAAGCCATCTCCGTCTAACCGACTACGTTTATTGCGCTCCTTGCCTACCAACTCCGCCTGCGGTCGACCTCAATCGAGCAACATGTCGTCTCCTCCAAGCGATTCGACCGTCACCCTAAGCAGCCTGTCTGACAGCCCTCCGAGGTTATGCTCGACCCCACCACGTACGACCGGCGTGTACCTCAATGGCATGAATGACGATCTCGAGTCTCTACATTGTTACGAGGAGGGAGGTTTTCACCCAGTCCATCTCGACGACACACTCGGCTCTGCCTGTCGCTATGAGGTGCTACACAAGCTCGGATATGGAGGGTACGGCACGGTGTGGCTTTGCCGCGATCGGTGGGCTGCGACATACGTGGCTGTCAAGGCTAATATCGCCCATGCGAGCAAGAAAGAGTCCCCCGATCTCAAGGTTACGCAGCTGGCTCGTGCGTTTCCGGGAGGGGACTTGTTCGCGCTGCCGATGAGTTCTATGTCAAGGGGCCGAACGGGCGCCACCGGTGCCTCGTCCTCCCAGTCCATGGTTTAGCCGTGTCCCCAAATCTCATGGACATCGAGCCAGAGGGGAGAGATAGTTGGCCATACGCCTGGCTATTGCTGCCCAGGTGACCCAGGCTCTCGCCTTCTTGCATAAGCACCATGTGTGCCACGGAGGTTTGTATTCGCTTCCCACCGCTGGGGGACTGTCCTGGATGCTTATCCATGTGCGGTTAGACTTCCGACCCAGCAACATACTTACCCGCCTGCAAGGGTTCCACAACCTTGACAAAGACGAGCTACTTTCGCTCATCGGCCGGCCCTCCAAGGCAAGGTCGAAGTTCGCACCAAGCCGAAGAAGCCCCCCGAATTCTTCCCGAGATATCTCATCAATGCAGCAAACCTCAGCCGTCTTACCAGCCTATATACGACTGGCAAGATATGCGTCATCGGTTTCGGGGAAGCTTACCCTTTCGACTCGCCGCCCGATCTCTTGGGAATCCCGAGCGGGTATCGCCCACACGAGAAGCTAGTCCTTGCCGATTGCATCGAGGACGGACCCGAGGATGGTGTGAAAAGTGGTGCATGCAAGAGGATTCGGAACAGCAAAGGCAGTCGTCGGTCAAGGGGCCTGCGTGCGATTTGTGGGCTCTTGGCTGCATGCTCTTCGAAATCCTGACGCAGAAGCCGCTGTTCTACGGGTGCCCATCCCTTTCGAGGAGCTCATTTGCGAAACGGCCGAAGTTGTTGACAGGTTTCCCGATGCGGTATGGGATCAATGGAAGGGCCGGAGGGAATGGTTCGACGACGAGGGCAATTGGCTGGGAAGATATGGCGGAGAAGCCGTGTCTTTGTCGGCGCATCTTGAAAACGCTGAGTGGGATGTCGAGTCTGGCGATCCTCGCAGAGTGCTCCCCGACCATGTACAGGCGGAAATGGCTGGGGGCGCTACGGCTGCTTTTCAAATCCGAGCCCCAGGAGCGCGCCCGCGCCGAGGCGGTATTGAACGAACTCGTGAGGATTCTCAATAGCCATCTGGTAGGGAAGGGCATGCAGGCTGTTGAGATTGGGCCCGACTCTGATGACCTGTCGTTCAAGCGGCTACTGGACTGAGGCTTCTGTTGGTGGGCGCTGCAAGCATTGGGTTGAGAGCAGAGAGGAAAGACAAGGGCCATCGCATAGAATAATACAAAAGACACGGTGCCGATGAGCGATGAACTCGGGACACTCGCACTCATGATCGGCAGACGGTCAGGTGCTTCGCGGGGGAGCATTGACAACATTGGATTCCGGCGTCTGGGGATGTCTGTCGCCTCCAATTTACCCCTCAGCGGCTCCCCCCTCCCCTTAACAAACGAAACGAAGCAAGGAGCCCTGTGCTGCCCTAACCAGACCATCCAACGCCTCAAACAGCGACCGAGAATCGCCCCTCGAGAAAGTCATGCCCGTCGTGCACGTCGTCCTGATGGCCTTTGAGCCGCTGGCGACGCCGCAGGAGACGGACAAGGTCAGTGGGTTCCTCTGCCCCTCCGGCCCCCATCACCTGGGGGCGGGTATAGGCGGATGCTGACGCGAACGCCCTTTACAGATTGTCCAGAGCATGCTGGCCCTGAAGGACAAGTGCATCCATCCGGCCACGCAGAAGCCGTATGTCAAGTCCACCAAGGGAGGCGCCAACCTGACCTCGGACGGGTTTGCGGTACGTCACCACTGTCCCCCTCCCTCCCAAACACACGCGATCCTCTGCCCCCCCAAGACCTTGCTGACCCGCCGCGACTCGCAGGAGGGATACTCGCATTCCTTCGTCATGGAGTTCGAGACCGGGGAGGAGTGCGCCTACTACAGCGACGAGGACCCCGTGCACCTGGAGTTCATCGAGAGCACGTCTGGCATCGTGTCCAAGACGCTGGTCGTTGACTTTACCCCCGGCGTCTTCTAGCTGGGGGGTCGCGGCGTCAGGCTATATGACAGCCAAATACAACCTAGTCCTTGTGTGCATGGTCTCGCATTTTGTGGGATGCTGTTGGCGCGCGAGGCGTGTCCAGACGATGCTGCCCGCAGTTGTCGCCCGCGGTTAATACTGGGGTACGGGCGCCAAGCTAGGCAGGCGACGAGCTCTGCCTTGCCCTTGGGGAGGCGGGTGGATAAGGGAGGATGATCTTGAGCTGCTGGCCTGAGCCGCCCGCCCGCCCTTGGCGTGATCAGAACCTGGTCTAACACAACGGCGGTCTAGACGCCCGGCCCGGCCCTAGCGATACAATGAGAGTCGCTTCGAGGGCGGATACGACCTAATAGGTGATGAGCTGGTGTAGCAATGTCTTGGCCAACGTGCAGGCTCGCAGAGGTCCACTCGCCCTTGCATACGCGAGGGGGTTGGAAGACATGGGACAAACAGCCTGGTCTCCGAGATTTACATGGCCGCGGTCCTGTCTGGTCTGGCGGCTGCGCGGGCTCTTGTGATGTCGCTGGTGCCTCTATTAGGCCGAGGTATGCGCGGCAGCTCATTCTCTGTGGCACCTACTGTCCCCACCCCGCTGTCAAACATGGTGGACCGCCGCCAACTTGCAGTGTGGAAGGTGACCGAATGCAAGCTTCCGTTTTTTTTTTTTTCCCCAAGCGAGAGCTGATGGTGGTAAGCAAATGGCACCCAAGAGGCGAAGGGAAAGGGAGATGGATCGGGAGGATGCGTGCAGCCGCCAGCTATAAAAAGGATTCACGCCGCCACACACTGCTGCCAACCACACATACGTCCGGCGGCCGCCCTTGACAGCGTCGCTAGCAAAAAAACAGCCAGCCCCGGCGACAGCCTGCAATGTCATGGTCAATCGGTAGCATCGTCCACTACGTCCTATACCTGGACTGTGTGTTTTATCTTGTTCTGATTTGGTATCTCTTTGGAGACGAGAAAACCAAAGCACGTTTCCCCCATCCCCATCCCCCAGCCAAGCCAAGCCAAGCCAAGCCGCCAGCACTAACAGCAAGCAATTGCCCGCCCCACCCACACAGTTGGAGCGGCAGCAGCCCGAGATCGACCGGCTGCGCATCGAGCGCGCGCACTACGACGCCCTGCTGAGGCGGCACGGCGACGGGCCCGACGAGGCGTTCCGCAAGACGCTCGAGGCGACCCTGCACGCCGCCGGGAGGAGGTACGTCGAGGGCCGGTACCGCGGCGTCCGGGTGTGGCGCTGGTCGCGCTCCGTGGCCGTGGCGCGCAACTACCTCGCCGTGCTGCGCTACTCCATCGACGACCTCAAGGAGCGCCTGCTGAGGTACTACCCGGCTGGCCCGCCGCCGCCGAGGTACCACGCGGGCTGCACGGGGGACGACTGATGCGTCAGGGGCATGTTCCCGATATCACAAAACGAGGAATAGATGCATAACACTAGAAAGCCCATCGACAGCATAGTTTGAGATACGGCGTTTACTTGGAGCGCAAACTTTCCATTGCCTCGCTCATCATACTAGAATACCAGAACGAGGGTAACACAAAAATGTTGTGAAAACAAGAAGGCCGACCCAGGAGATGAGTTCAGACAACGGGGGCTCAGAAACAATTGGAGTCCCCAGAAAACCGAATATCCCACCGCCCAAAACAAGCGGCAGTAGACAAAGTGCCACAACGCGAAATCCCGACAACCCTAATCCCATCAGTTATGAACCAAGCACAAGAAAACCTCTCACTTCTTCTCAAAGGAGAACTGCCCCACCCTGTCGCCCTTCTTATCCGGGGACTTGGAGGACCCCAGGGCAGGGCCGCCGCCGCCGCCGGCCGAGGTCTCGCTCTCGTCCAGACGCTGGACTATCCGCTCGACCGCCTCGCGCGCCGTCGGCGACGCCGTCTGCTGAGGATAGTGACGGCGCGGCTGACCCGTTTGCTCCTTGGGTGACGCAACCGGCACGGGGCTCCGGGTGGTGGTGTCGACAAAGACGTCGTCGTCCTCGGGCGCCGCCACTCCCGCACGGCCCGCCGCGTCCATCGCCACCCCGTCCACCATGCGCGCGTCGCGGCGCTCCTGGGACGCGGCCGCGGCCGCCGGGACATCGCCCCCGCCGCCCAAGATGGCATCCGGGGCCGCAACCCCGCGCACCATGTCCCTGCGCAGCTGCCCGCCGCCGACGCTGCTGTCGCTGAGGCCCGACGCGCTGCGCTCGAGCTGCCAGCGCGCAAAGGCCATGGCGCCAGCCGAGCTCGTGCCGGGCACGGGCCGGCGCTGGTAGATGGGGCCCGAGACGGTGCTGCCAGCGCCCTCGCCGAAGCCGACGAGGCTGGCGGACCCGTCGTCGTCATTGTCGCTCATCCGGTCGTCGAACATACCCCCGCCGCCGCCCGCGCTCCCACGCTCCAGCAGGTCCTCGTCCATCTGATCTAGGCCTTCGCCGCCCCTGCGTTGCTGGTGCAGGCGCTGCTGGTGAATTTGGTGCGACGAGCGCCCGCCGACGCTGGCCGAGTCGTCGCTCATGATCGCGCCGCGAATGAAGTTGGTGTCGACACTGCCCATGTCGTCGGCGTCGACGTCGTCCATGGGGTGGTCTGTGTCGCCCAGTGTCGTGGTGCGGCCATCTCCGCTAGACGTGGCCGACGCGGTGCCAACGGTGCTAATCTTGGTCGACGCGACCGGCTGGCCGTTGGAGTCGAAGTAGGCCGGGGCCTGGGCGGGTATTGTTCCGGGCGGGAACTGGCCCGAGGTCGGGGTGGTCTGGTTGTTTTGTTGCGCGAAGCCGCCGGCCGACTGGTTTTGCGCCCCTGAGCCGCCCGGTCCGCGCTGCGCCGACAGCAGGTTGGACATGCCCGTCAGCCGTGAGATGCGGTCGGCACGCTCGGCCTCGAGGCTGGTGGTCGACGAGTGGTGTTGATGGCCGCGGTGGTTTCCCATGTGCTGAGCGTGCCCGCGGTGGCCATCCTTGATGGCTGTGGTAGAGAGGGTCGAGAGGGAGGTCGTGGTGCTAGTTGGTGTGCCGCTAGAAAGCATCAAAGGAGCCAGTTAGTTTCCTGGCCGTGATTGGAGACAGCAGACAGCTAAGACGCAAGTCTGGAAGGGTTGCCAATCCGGAAAGCCACTCACGGCACCTCCGAGGGCGTGTCCGGATTCGAGGGCGGCTGAGGGAGGTTGATCAGGGTTGGATGTGCCGGCGGCGCCTGCGACTGCGATGGCTGCGACATGTTGGGCGGGCTGGAGTTCACACTTTATTCTTGGTGGTTTGTCGCTGTTCTGGATGTACAAAGGCCGTCTGGTGATGCTCGATGGATTGATCGAGGGCTGGTCTGGTGGTTTGTGCTGTTGTAACTTTACGGTTCAAGACGCGTGCTCAGCGGAACTTTAGCGGATGTAGGGTCTGTGGTGGGGGCGCCTGCATTGCCCCAGTGGCCGTGCCTGCGACGTCACTGCCAGGTGGGTGTGCGGTGCACGTGATGAGGACGAGCGGAGGCGTGTCTGGTGAGCAGTTGTCCAGCAAATGACCAATGAATGAACACTTCCTGTTTTCCCCTCCGAAAATTTTCAGGTTCGATTTTATATTCCACCCCCTTACTTCCCATTTATAATTGCTCCTTTCCATTCCTTTTCGCCGTCCCTTTTCCTGTCCGCTTTCCTCCAGGCTTCGCGGATCATGAAGCCCCACTTACGCGAGTTGCCTGCGAGGCAACACAAGCGAGCCGACCTCGACGGACGTTGACAGGACAATTTACGTCATCGGGCGTGCATGCCCCAGCTCCCCGCTGCTGCTGTTGGTTGAAGGCCCACACTAACCCCAGAACTCGGGACGAGGGGCGGGACGGGACAGGAGTGAGCAAATCGTGAGAGAAGAAGTAATGAGAAGTTGAAAACGCCACACGGTACAAACCACTGCTGATGCAGAGCGAACTGGTTTAACTGGGGCACTGGGCTGCACCTTCCCCAGATGCGCAGGTAAACCCCGGTATCCATGTGATGTTTATCAGGGACGCGGCAGACGGGCCAAACCGGGCACCGACCAGCCTCATTCCCGAAAGCCCTGCGCAAGCGACCTATCACATGGCCTTGTACACAACAGTGCTGTCAGCCGACGCTGGTCGTTGATGCCTAATGCAAACTTGCCCGCAGCGAACATGAAAATAGCGTGATAATCATGCTGGATACCAGGATGGGAATAAAAGCGCTTCCTAATTGATGCTACGCGGTGTGCTGACATCAAGTTTTTATTGGCTTTCATATCTATACCATCTCAGTAGAATTAGGTCATCAGTCCTAGCAACCAGCCAAGGTTGCATTCACGGCGCGAAGTAATGAGTCAGCACAAACTAACTTGTATGCATCAAATAGTAGAACTAACTTGTTCCCGCGCGGCGAGAACACGTGGTTCGAAAAGGAGGGGCGCTTTACGGCATTTGCCGGTACCAGCAGCTCGATCGACCAAACCAAACAAAAAGTACCATATTTGCACCGCATTCTGAGAAATATTAACAAGATCCAACCGGCCCATTGCCCCCGCGTTACTTCTTAAACAAGTCAGTTTGCGACCCAAAGAAAGGATTCGGTTCAAACGTGTTCTGGTTGGTCCTCGCTCGCGGGTTCCTCTGCATCTCCTCCTCCTGCGCCGCGGGCGACGCCGCGGCGGACCCGTCCAAATACGACTGGTCCTCGACGGGGGGTGCGATCTTGAGGTCGCCGCGGTAGATCTCGAGCACCGAGATGGCGGGGAGCAGGAGCATTAGCAGCGCGAGCAGCTGGCCGAAGCTCCAGTCGGTCTCGCCCCTGTCGGCTAGCGGGACCGAAGGGTTGCCGAAGGCCTGGGATAGCAGGCCGACGCGGACGGCGGCGCCGATGGCGATGGCGAACATGACAACGACGCCGACGACCTGGATGGTCTTGTAGAAGCGCTGGCTGCGGCTGTGCAGGTACCAGGTTGCCAGGGCGAAAACGGCGCAGTTGCCGGCGATGACGGCCGAGGTGCCGACGTAGCTCAGGCCGGGGTTCTCCTCGGGCACCCTGGCGGTCTGGCCGCCTTGGCCCCACACGCAGGCGATGGGCAGCGTCTGCTCGAGGTTCTGGGCCGTGGCGCGCAGCATGTAGACGCCGTAGACGCACGACAGGGCCAGGTTGACAAACATGAGGAACTGGCGCAGCCAGCGCAGGACCCAGTCGCGGCGGAAGTCGTGCACGAGGGCGAGCAGGGTGGCGTTGTGGACGGCCATGGAGAGCAGGCTCAGCATCCAGATGATGAAGAAGTGGTAGGGGACCAGGGTCGAGGCTTTGGCGAGCCCGACGCTCTGCAGGCCGATGCCCGTCAGGATCTGCTGGTCCGAGTACGAGTTGAGGAGCTTGCGCCGGATCGTGTGCGGCTTGCAGTAGCCGTCCTTGCGCCGGCACGCGCGGAACTCTTGGAAGATGAGCGACGCGCTCATGGCCAGGGCGAGGGCCGCTGTGAAGATGAAGGAGAGAAGGACCTTTTCCAGTTAGTCAGTAGGTAGGTAGGTGTACAAGGCATTTTGGCGGGTTCGAGCTGCTCAGCTTACACCAGTGCCAGCAATGCCAGCATCGCTGGGGACTGACGACCGCACGGTTGTGCAGTCTGCTGTTTCGAACACCATGGCGGTAGCTGTGATGTAATGCCTGGGTAGTACCTGGTAGTCACAGTGAATGACGCACTCAGGAGCTGGAATGAAGGACTAAACGGACAAAGGAAAAGGAATCGCGACACTTTGGCCGTCCGGAAGAAACGAAAGTTGTCGATGTGGTAAAAGTTGGGCACCATGAGGGAAGCATGAATCTAAAAAGGGATCGTGAGAGGGGACCATGCGTTTGCTGATGACGTTGTGGCAGCCAATGCTTGAATTTAGCGCGAGTCCCTGGCATCGGACCCCTGCACGCCTTGCCCTGTTTCAAGTGCCGCCGGTGGATCGACTGGGAAACCCTGCTGCGGGCATCTTGGTTCCCTGCATTGGCCCCCTGCAGATGGCCCTGACTGGCTGTCGATCTCCAGATCGGTCCCAAGAACACGCGGCTGCGCCCCGTTGGGACATGCGAAAAATAAACGATTTGCTCTGAGCCTCTCGTGCGCTCGTGGCGGGTGTCCCGCCTTCACTTGCCTGCATTGACGGCCGTCAAGCGTCCGGCGCATATTTGCGCTGCCGCGACAGGCCTCTAAGCCACAGAGAGCTTCCTTTGTTCGCAATTCGCCACAGGCACGTGACGCCATGTCACCTCTCGGCGTTTCTACGGAGTCACGCTTGTTGGATGCACGGACACGGATAGATCGACATGGAATTCAGGCGCCATCAGTTAGTTTCCTTTCGCGCAGAGGCACGCACGACATCTTGGTTGCCAGGTGTGCAACTCCCCGTCTGCCATCTCCAAGGTTCCTTTGTCTTAGAAATGCCTCGTTGATTTCTGGAGCCGAGCATACCGATCTCCTCTTGCGTTGCGACTTCCGTGTCCTCCCTGTCGTGTCCCGTGCCGAACTTCGTCCCCATCACCTGTCACCCGTCGCCAGCTTGACCCCAAGTCTCTCTGGGACAGCTCCCCGGTCGTAGGCCTTTATCGGCTGAGCATAGCCATGACACGCTCGTGCATCATAGACTGCTCCGACGCCATCTGCAGCAGCACCTCCCACACGCGGTTGGGCGGGTTGGGCGGCTGGCACGTCTCGAGCAGGCGCGCGATGTCGGGCAGCATCGAGATCTTGAGCCGCACCCACTCGACCGAGCAGCCGTGCGGCATGGCGTCTATCAGCTCTGGCCGCAGGAAGAGCTCGACGGCGAAGTCGAGCTGGTTCGGCTGGCCCGGCTGCCAGAACTGCATGGCCCGCAGCCGGTCGAGGCGCTGGCGATCGTTGAGTCTCATGAAGCGCTGGGCGGGCTGCCACTCGTCGGACTGTGGTTTTGGTGGTGGGGGAAATTTCGTGACCGTTAGCATACCAGTCGGGCCGTCTTGAGAGTCAAGTGAGGGCTGTGGCGGGGTTCTCGTCCACCGGATCCGACAAGGGCGTGTCTAAGGGCGTGTCCTTACCGTCAGGTCAACGACTGCCTGGTGAATATCGCGAGGGTCCATTTTGACGGATGTGGTTTGGCGAGGCACTTTCTCGAAAGAGCAATTCTCCAAGGTACTCAAGCGACGCCCGGCGGCTGGTAGCGAGTTGATGTTCTTGCGGTCGTCTGGGCAGTTCCATCAACGTCGATGCCCGTTTGCTTTGCGCTGACTTTGCTCTGGCTTTACAAACGCCCAATATCTCGGCCGCTCCTTCCATCTCTTAGTAGATAACCCAATTGACCACGGGATCCACAGAGAGAATCCACCTCCATCCCGTCTCCAATTGGCACATCTTGCCTATCTGGACGTCGTCTGACGTTAACTTCCCTCAGAGGAAGGGAAACAATACTCCCGGCAACAAAAATGCTTTTTGAGCGCGCTTTCTAAGAAAAACGCTTTGGAGGGAGCAAGCGACGAGCAATTTAGGTTGAGATATCCATGTTTTCAGCGGACAACGACGGGAATATACACATTTCCCATAACCACTCTGAAAACGACAATTGCTGGCGACTCTGGCAACCACCCACTGGCGATAGCCACGGTCTGGAGCGGCCTCATTTTGCCCAGCGGTGGTCTAGACCTTGGTCTCTCTGCCAGCGTCCGAGATCTCATCGTCGCCATCTAAGACCTGCCCGCTAGCATCATTCCTTGTCTCAGCCACAGCGGGCAGAAAGGGTCTAGATGATCGGCCGCCAGGATGCCAATTACGACCCATCGCGCTTCTGGCAGCCGGAGATCCGATTCCCCATACAAAGACGAAATATCGGGGCACACATCATGCTCGCTCCCGCCCATCCGTTTTCGGCCGCCATCGTAGCTCTAGAGGACATCGTCGCCACGGCGTCCCCGGTGGTTTTACCGCTGACATCACGGATCCATGCGACGACACGATTGTAACTAAATCCTCTTGCAGCTTATAAAATGCCATCATCTTGCGTTCCCTCGAGCCCGTTGGGGTTTTCGAGATTCCTTGTCACAGACAGATCTGCGATCTGTGGCATCTGTTGAAGGCAAGATCAGACCTAGCATTCCTGCATACCACCACCAGCCAGCATGGTGCTGGGACACCAAATTCTCTGCCTTGCAGTTGGCTTGGCCGCCCTGCCTTGGCTCGCACAAGCCGCGGAGGCGGCATGCTACTGCCCACGCCCTGAAGGTACGCTGTCCCAACCCCTGCCTCAGCCCCTGATCCGATTCCGCAGCGCAGTGCAGAGGCTAATGTCACAACTCAATCTCCCACGACGCCCTTAGTCCCGGCGTCCCTCCGTGCTGGGTCACGCCCCCCGTCATTTGTTCCTGTCACAGGCCTCCCACAGCGCGACTACGGAGTCGACTTCCGCACTCCGTCATCTGCCGGCCTCACCGACTACTGGCGCACCTCGAGCAGCTCCAACATCACACACGATGATCGCGGGGCTGGACTGCAATATGTAAACCGACATGACGCGCCCCAGCTCGAGACCGGCTTTTACATCTGGTACGGCCGCGTCGACTTTGACCTGCAGGCCGCCCCAGGCAGGGGCGTCATAACCTCGGCCGCGCTCAAGCCTGACCGCGGTGAGGGTGTCCATTGGGGCTGGTCGGGCAACGACTTCGGGCAAGATGAAGGCATTGTGCAGACCGACGTCCGCAACGGTGGCGCGACGGGCGGTACGGGCCCTCGCATCTGGGGGGTCGTTGACAACCCTCAAGGCTCGGTGCACACCTACTCTATCGACTGGACGCCCGAGAGGATCGACTGGCTGATCGATGGCCACCTTGTGAACACGCGACTTGCCGCCGACGCCGAGAAGGATGGCGATCCCTTCCCGCAAACGCCCTCCAGGGTTCAGTTCGGAGTCTGGGCTGGCGGCGACCCGTCCAACGGCCGCGACGTCGTTGATTGGGCCGGCGGCCAAACGGATACCCAGGGCGGGCCGTACACGGCGTACCTGCGCAACGTCTCCGTCACGAACTACAACCCAGCCGGAAACTACGAGTACGCAAAGAACGCAGAAGGCATGAAGAGCGTCAGGCCTACCAACAACACGGCCCGCGCCGGGTCCGGAGGCATCCAGTCCCTGGGGGCCAACAACCCGTCGAGACAGCCACTGTTGGTGGGCCTCCCTAGAAGTGAACGAGGAGCCTGCGGCGCCGATGTCGGCATGAGCTGCCAAGGCAGTGCCTTTGGCGAGTGCTGCTCGCGCTACGGCTACTGCGGCAGCTCGGCGGACTTTTGCGGCGCGGGGTGCCAGTCTGCATATGGATTATGTTCGCGGCCCAGCTTGTTCAACCAGGCCAACACGCCCGACCTGGATCGAAACCCGGTCACGAGGATTGTCAACCCCAACTGGCCCCAGAGCACGGCCGCTGTCTCGCTGCCGTCTGGGAGACGAGGAGATAGGCAGAGCGCGTTCAGGACGGGCGCCGTCTCAACTCGGAGGGTGGTGTCCTTCCCGAACCCTGCGTCCTCTTTGTCAGGGACTCCAACAACTGGACCCAACGGTCCCCACAGACCGGCGAGGCTGCCGTTCTCGAGAGGCGGCCAGGGGGCTGCTCCCGTCATGCCCACCACGATCAGTGGTGCCAATACGGCTAGCGCGGGTCCGGACGGCGCGCCCCCCTTGGCGACCCACACGAGCATCAACGGTCGTCGCCCCTGGTGGTTTTTTCCGCCATCGGGAACGGCGACACGCTCCGTTATTCGCCCACAGAGAACTTCCGGCGTTCCGAGGAGCAGGGGCAGCACCCGCCGTGGCCCCCTAAGGGCATCGAGGACAAGAGACAGCACGTTTTCTCGCCCTCCAAGGACTTCCGGCCCCTCGAGGACAAGAAACGGCGCCTTCTCTCGTCCTACAAGGGCTCCTGGCTCGGGGACAACCGAATCCGGCGCCGGCGGCATCCCCATGGGAGGTCCGTGGACTGGACGCGCGACCACCCGCAACCGCATCGTGTCTACCACCTTGGCAACTTCAGGAGGAACGTCCGCCCCGACTAGTCCGGTTCTGGGCGCTGGACCGTTCTCTCCAGCCTCCGCAGAGACCTCTCTTCCAACCTCCTCGGATACCTCTCCCGCCCCGAGTACCTCTTCGGATATTTCTCCCGTCCCGAGTACCTCGGTCGGCAGCAGCTCCAGGCCGCGTCCCTTGCTAGGTGCTAGACCAGAGGCGGCGGACCTGGGATCAAACAACGCGTCGGGAGCCAACAACGACGCTGCGGCCGGATCTAACAACGGTATCGCAAGCCCAGATGTTGCCTCGGCTTCCAGCAGCACTGGCTCCGACACTCTTGCTCCAGACGCCACAACTGCCAGCGCAGGTGATGCCACATCCACCACCGCTGAAGGTGTGACAACTACCAACTCGGAAGATGCTACAGTCACCAGTGCCCAACGTGTGGGAGCCGCACCCACCACGTCTACGAATGTCACAGTTGATAGTATTGGGGACACGACAGCTGCTGGCCCTGTTGCAGCCACGAGCACTACATCCGGAGATCTTACAGCGTCTGGTCTCGATGGCGCCACAGCCACAACTCTTGAGACCGTGGCAGTCGCCGCCTCTGAGGACGCGGCGACTACTGCTAGCTCTGGGGATTCAGCGCTTAGTACCTCTGAACTTGAGACAACCATTAGGCCTGCGGGAGCAACGGTCACTGCCTCCGAGACTACGACTGAGACTACCTTTGAGGACGCGGCAGCCGCTAGTTCCGGAGATGCTGCGGCAGCCGCTAGCTCCGGAGATGCTGCGGCAGCCGCTAGCTCTGGAGATGCCGCAACAGCCACTAGCCCCGGAGATGCCGCGGCAGCCGCCAGCTCCGGAGATGCTGCGGCAGCCGCTAGCTCTGGAAATGCCACGACAGCCACTAGCTCCGGAGATGCCGCGGCCGCGGCCTCCGAAGGGCCCGAGACAACCCCTGTCCTTGGAACGGCGACAGTCCCTGTCTCTGAGGCAGCGACAGCTACCAGTGCCGAGGGGGCTACAGATAGTGCCATCGATGCTACGCCTCCGGCCGCGGACGCTTCTCCTACGGACGCTTCCTCTACAGGTGCTCCCCCTACGGGCGTTTCCCCCACGGATGCTTCCCCTACGGTTGTTTCCACAGGGCCACCACGCCGACCCTTGGGAGGCACCGCGAATGGCTCGCCGTCCTCTTTTCAGGATTCCTCACCTGACCCTTTCCTATCCCCCGCCACCAACTCTTCCGACCCCTCGCCTTCTCCCGTGTCAGGACCTTCCTTGGATCCCTCACAGTCGTCTTCTCAGGAACCGCCGTCGGGCCCATCGGACCCATCGGACCCTTCGCAGCCTCTTCCGCAAGATGCGCCCGCCAGTCCGGCAATTCCAACGGCTGCTGACCCGGCCTCGCCTGCTTCCGAGGCGGCTGCGTCCTCTTCTGAGGAATCATCGCCTACGTCAGAGTCGACAGAATCATCGCCTACGTTAGAGTCGACAGCATCTGATCCGGAGCTGCCCATAACTACCACTCCCGAATCAGCAGGTACCTCTGTTTCGGAAACAGGAACTCCTCCTTTAGAGACAGAAACATCTGCTTCGGAAACAGGAAACCCGTCCTTTTCGGAGACAGAGGCCCCTTCTTCAGAGACAGCATCCCTTTCAGACGGCTCCACGGGCTCTCCCGCTTTAGATCCAGCAACTGCCACCACAGTATCGACGGAGCCATCTGGAGAGCAGACAGGATCTTCCGGTTCGGAATCTGCAGCTTCCCCTTCGCAGCCTGGCGCATCCTCGGAGGAGCCTGCACCGCCTGTCACCTCTTCAGACTCCTCCTCTTCAAGCCCATCGGCCCCTCCCACAGACCCCGAATCTCCTTCGGGAGCCCTCACTTCCTCCACGGAAACCTCATCTCCTTTGTCAGATCCCTCGTCCTCTCCGGAGCCTTTGGCCCCCTCATCGGAACCTCCGTTCCCCACCTTCCCAGATCCTCTATCGTTTCCTTCCAACAGCGGATCCAACGCAAGCGACACTGTTGCGCAGCCCGAACCTCAATCTAACCAGCCTGCGGGCCCTACTGCCAATGGCGAGAGTATCAGCGGCGCTCAGACACCGTCTTCGTTGCCGGGGACAACACCCACCTCCATTCCAACCTCGGAATCTTCAGTATCCGATGATCTGCCGTCCTCGTCTGGCACTGTGCCGCAGAGCAGCCCAAGCTCGCCCAACGACTCTACTACTGAGCCAACTTCACTATCAAGCGATGCACCAAGCGCTTCCACCAACTTGCGGGCAGACAGCACCCAAACAGTAACCTCGTCGGCGTCGGCTACTTCCAGTAGCTCAGTCTCAGATGCCTCGCCGCCGAATCCAACTGCAACGAGCAACGCCGACAGTGGCCCGTCGCCCGCGAACACACCTTCATTCAATCCTCTGGGCTTCCCCATTGGCGGGCCGGCAAGTTTAAACGCAGGGGCGAGTAATGCGCAGGCTGACGGTGCTGGGGCTTCCGTCGACACTCAGCCAAGCAACCCGCCAGACAACTCTGGAGCAAGCAGTACTGTTTCAAGCAGCGGCACCCAGACAGGCACAGGGAGCGTGGAGGGAAGCAGCAGTCAAGCGACCACCCAGACGGATGCTACTCAGACAAGTACCCCCGGTGCAGCTGGCACACAAACGAGCGCCACTGGAGCGGCCACGGAGAGCAGCGCTCAAGAGAATGCACAGGGAGGCAACACTCAAGTGAGCGCCCAGCCCGGCGGCGCAGAAACGGCCAGCCCGGCAACGGGGGGTTCTCAAACGAGTGGGGCCCAGGCAAGCGCCACGCAGATTAGTGTCACTCAGCCAAGCAGCACTCCAGAAAGCAGTACTCAGAGTACCACATCTGGCCCCCTTGCCGGCGGCACTTTGACCGGTGTCACTCAGCCAAGCAGCACTCCAGAAAGCAGCACTCAGAGTACCACATCTGTTACCCTTGCCGGCGGCACTTTGACCAGTGATACTATTGTCGTCAATGCTTTGGCAGGCGGCTCGTCAAGTAGTGGGACGGGGAGCAGTTCCACGAGTGAAAGTTCGGCAACTAGCAGTGCGTCGACGGACAGCGCGTCTACCAGTAGCAGCACCTCAACCAGCGTAACAAGCAGTGCGGCAACTACCGGGACTGGGACTGGGACCGGAACCACTTCCGCCGTACCGTTGGCGACCAGCTCCCAGACAAGCAGCACCCAGACAAGTAGCACCTCGGCAAGCGTTTCGCTACCCAGCACAACGGCTAGCACTTCGACTATTAACACGGTCATATTCAATGCCTTGGATGCCTTGTCCAGCGCTTTGTCGAGCAGCACTACAGCTAGCAGTTCAGCCAGCAGCACATTATCGACGAGCACGAGCAGAGCCATAACCACTAGCACTTCTACGAGCAGCACTTTTACGAGCAGCACTTCTACGAGCAGCAGCAGTAGCTCGTCTAGCAGGGCGTCGACAAGTAGCACCGCCACGCCCAGCTCGACAACGTCCACCACGGCGACGGCGATAGCGACAACGTCGACGACGTCGACGACGCCCCCGGTGACGGCCGCGCCGGCGACGACGCCGTCGACCTCGCCCACGACGGCGACGGCCTCGATGACGACGGCGGCGTGCTACCGCGGGGCCAACACGGGGTGCCACGCCGACAACTGCATCCGCGCCATGAGGAGCGACCGGAACAAGCTCGTTGCGGGCCTGTTCTGCGCGGCGTGGAGCGGCGCCATGGCGGGGTTACCGACCTACCTCAGCAGCTGCGAGGGCAACGCCACCATGATCGCCATCTCGTGCTGCTGCGTCTTCGGCACGGGCCCGTCGCTGCTCAGCGGCATCCTGCCGCGCGGGGAGGGTGCGGCGCCGACGCCGACGCCCCCGGACGAGGGGCTGGCGGTGCTGCCGCGGTCGGCCGTCGTCGTCGCGGGAGAGGACGGCCGGCCTGTCGGGCTCAACCCCTGGCAGAGGCTGTCGGTCTGGCTGGTCGGCCAGGAGCGTCGGAGGCAGGGCATCAGCGGCGTTGAGGATGGCGGTGGTGGGGGCGATGGTGCGAGTCAAAGCAGGGAAACACGGGCGGCGGTTGTCTCTCGCGAAGCAAGGGAGAGGCGGAAGGTGAAGGACAAGGAGTAGTTGTCGCCTGTTGTATTATCCAGCATGTTTTCCTGTAATTCTTTTTGCACTATCCACTGTAATATTTCCTTGCCCGTTTCTTTGCGCAATTCCTCGGCGTTTTAGACCTTTTGTTTTGAGACCTTTTGTATTTCTGTACGTATCAGCGAGGCCGATTTGGTTCATTCAGCATTCACAGTATTTTTTAGGGCTGTCGCTTGTCGCAACGCGCCCTATCCAACCGGCTAGATTTGAAATCATTAATCCCTGAACGGCAGACACGGCCCTCTAAAAATATCGCAATTACGAAAAGGGCCTCGCGTCCGTTACAATGCCGCGATAATGTCCGTCGGAGGACATGGATAACCCTATTTCAGCTCCGCGAAGCGATGCCACGACGGCGTTCGGGGCAGACACCAGATTCGACAAGCCGCGGTGGGGGGGAATGTAGGCACTGACACAACCCATGCATGGCGGCGTGGAGAACGAGCGCTAGCCGTTTTTTTTCTTTCTTTTTTCTTTTTTTCTTTTCTTCTTTCCTCTCACTGCCAATACCGAGGGTGACGACAGTGGACCGGCAGGCAAGCCGACAGCAACCCTCCCAACCCCTCCTCCAAATGCGGCCGGGTGCGTTTCCAACGGGCTGCTATCCGGATGAGGCAAAATATACGGGCGCGAATATTGGACTGGGTGTGCGGGCTAGGCCGGTAGAAGGAGCAGGTCCGAATGCTCGGGGTCTCGCCTGTTTTGACGAGCAGGCCTTGGCTCTGTCCATCCACAGTCGGTGAGACTATTCCTCTCCAGTGGTCCAGTGGTCCAGTGGACTCTGCCGCAAGCGTCCCCCCGAGCCGGAACCCAGCCCACCCCTCTCGAGCCATGCTCGGCCGACCTTCTCAACTCGGGGCCCACGCCCCGACAGCTGTGGGGCGCTGGCGCGGAGCGGGATTCCGGACCTGGAAGGAAGCCCCAGGGAGGACCCAGCCCAAAACATCGGCCATGCCCCCTTTGCCTTGCCTGCCGCCTGCCGCCCCTCCGAGAGAGGGCTCGAGCGGCTGGGGAGCCTGCCGGTTACGGTGCGGTCGCCGGCCGGGATTAATCAGCGGGCGGGGAGGGCAGGTCTGGCTCGGGGTGCCGGAGTGTTATGTAGCTCGTGTCATGGCGCCATGTGATGCATGTGTCGTTGACCGGGCTGGTTTAAAAGGCGTGGTTTCTTCCCTTGACCTTGGTGTGTGTCTGCTGCTGATGCTGCTGCTGACTGACTGGGACATCCTGCTGGCGCTGATTGAGTGAAAATAACTAAAGACCCCTTCTTCTTGACAAGGCCATCAGTTCAGACGACTCGCATTAGCACCAAACGCACTTAACCCCCCGCCCGACCCGTCTCTTGTCCTCACGCGAGACGAGGGACAGACACGCGCGCACCACCGTCTACACACGACAGCCTCAAAAAACACTCGCTCACAAAAATGGAGAGGGCAAACACCTCCGTCGTCCTGGCCGAGCGCCCTGTCGGCAACATAGTCCCGGGCAAGACCTTTGCCAAGAAGATCCAGCCGGCCCCGACTGAGGCCGACCTGAAGGATGGCCAGATCCTCGCCGAGACGCTGTACCTCAGTCTCGACCCCGCCATGAGGGGGTGGCTGAATGGTTAGTGACGGAGCATCTGGGAAAATTGCCTATGGAGCACAACCAAGTCGTACACACAAGTCATGGCCAAACACTAACTAGATCGTCTCGGCAAAAAAAAAAAAATAGACACTCGCTCCTACCTCCCGCCCGTCCAGATCGGCGAGGTGATGCGGAGCGGCGGCCTGGTGCGCGTGCTGGCGTCCAAGTCGCCCAAGGCCAAGGAGGGCGACGTCGTCTTCGGCTTCTCGGGCTGGCAGGAGGTGTGCGTCATGCCCGACGCCGGGCCGGGCGCCTTCGATGCCCCCTTCGACCTCCCGTCCTCGGCCAAGCTGACGGACCTGCTCGGGGTGCTGGGCATGACGGGCCTGACGGCCTACTTTGGCGTCACCAAGATCGCAAACATCAAGCCGGGCGACACGGTCGTCGTGTCGGGCGCCGCGGGCGCCACGGGCTCCGTGGTCGGCCAGATGGCCAAGAACATCTTTGGCGCGCGCGTCGTCGGGCTGGCCGGCGGGGCCGACAAGTGCCGCTGGCTCAAGGAGGAGCTGGGCTTCGACGAGGCCGTCGACTACAAGGCGGCCGACTTCAAGGAGAAGTTCGCCGCCGCGACGCCCAAGTTCATCGACGTCTACTGGGACAACGTCGGCGGCGACATCCTCGAGATGTGCCTGGCGCGCGCCAACAAGTTTGCGCGCTTCGTCATGTGCGGCGCCATCAGCCAGTACAACTCGACCGAGGTCAAGGGCATCAAGGTGCGTTTTCCGGTTTATAGCTCGTTCCACGTTGTATCAGGCGGCACACACATGTACACGCATCATGTGCTAACAGAGTTTGCTTTTTTCACAGAACCTGACCATGGTCATCGCCATGTCCATCCGCATGGAGAGCTTCATTGTGCTCAACTACCCGACCGAGATCCCCAAGGCGCGCCAGGAACTCGCGGGCTGGCTGGCCGAGGGCAAGATCAAGCGGCAGGAGACGGTCGTCAAGGGCGGCCTGGACAAGGTCGAGCAGGCCCTGCTGGACCTGTTCAACGGTGCCAACACGGGCAAGATGCTGGTCGAGGTCAAGGGCGGCGAGGGGGGCGCGAAGCTGTAGGATGGTGACGTAGAAGGGTTAGCATTTACTTTATGGACATGATGATATGAAGCCTTGGGGCAATAACGTCGGGCGGGCAATATAGACTTGTATGTAAATAGGCAAAACTTCAAAAAAAAAAAAAGACGGCTGCTATGGGATTGAAAGTAGGGGATTGATTCATCTTGAACTTTTGGCGGTCAAAACGTGGCGGCTGGAGCGGTGCAGGAACGGCGTGCTTGGCGCGAGCTGTCAGGCCGTTCGCCGCTGTCTTGTGTCAGCAGTCGGCAACAGCGTCCACCGAATCTAGACTCGTCCCATGTAAAGGATGCAGCCCATGTGGGTTAGCTAGTACCTAGTACCGAGGATACACTGCACTAAGCGTTTGCCCGTCTGCACCATCTCGGCGGAAAGCGTCGGGATGCTTCGCCATTGGTCACGCCGACAAAAAGCAGGCGCAGGGAAGGGGACTCCTGCGATGCACGTGTCGGTCAAGAATGGGACACGACGTCCGCTGACCCCTGACAATCCCGCCTTTCCAGGCGGCC